AAATTTTAAACATGTTCACAAACTTTCAAAAATGATCGTGAACTTTTAAAATATCCGTGAATGTAATAAACATTAATGAAGCTAAAAAATATTGAAAAATATTTTTTAATGTTCACAAATTTTAATAACCTCTTATGAATTAAAACATGTAAAAATATTAAATAGAGAAAGAGAAATAAAACTAAGCAAGAAACAACCTCTTACATGTGGGTTCGAGTGACCCCACCATTCCCGGACCGCGAGAACGATTCAAATCATGGGAGCTTAGTATCTATATAGATTCCATAAGAAGTATCTCTAGATGAAAAGTAAATTTATACCACTGTCATTTATTATTAGACATTTTGTATTAAGTTACAGATGCATTATAAGTACTTTTTATTTCAACCAGTAAGTAGTTGATAAACACCAAACACTATTTAAACAATAGATGAAGTCAAACGTCATATGACATACCTATATAATGTTTCTATGATGTAAATTAAGTACAATACGGTTGCAAATTCATATCATATTTAGCAATGCCCAAAGAATGTCATGCAAATGCACCTTCGCTCCCCCCCCCCTCCCCCTTACAAAAAAATCATTTTTATGAGTATTTTTTATCATAGAAGTAGGAGCCCGCCACATTTATGAGTGTGTATTTTTGTCATAATTATCATCATGAAAGTGTCACATCCATGACAGAAATTCAGGCCATAATGTCACGGATGTTTCTTATTTTTTAGTGAGGATAATCTAGCTATGTTTGTGAAGACCATCATCATGTGACCACTATGTATACTGTCTGGTCCATGTCTTTTATAATAATATTACCGGATTAATAATAGTTGAAATGTCTATTGGTTAACTATGAACTATCCACATTATCATAATTTTTCTTTCTAAATGGTCGTTGAATTGCCTTCCAATGTGTACTACAATCGCTGTTTTACAGTCAATTACTATATAAATATTATCTCAGCCCTAGGAACATTAAATACAATTTCTATCTAATCCACAGTTTCACAATTTTCTCAATCAACTAACTATCAGTTTTTTTTTTGCAATTCTCACCTCACATTAGCTTCTTCAGAGCTCACAACAATTTTTTTCAAAAGAGTTCTTAGCTCACATCAACTTTCTCACAGCTCACAACAATTTTTTCAAAAGAGTTCTTAGCTCACCTCAGCTTCCTCACGGTCAGAAATTTTCTTTTCTTTCTCACAGCTCACAACAGTTTATTTCATAAGAGTTCTTAGCTCACATCAGCTTCCTCACAGTCAGAATAATTTTACGAAACTCAGCTTTCTCATAGCTCATAACAACAAAATTTTCAGAAAATTTCTCAAGTCACATCATCTTTCTCATAGTGATTTCTCGGGTTACATCAGCTTTCTCATGGCTCACAACAGCCCGCAACAACAAAATTTTAAGAAGATTGTTCAAGTCACATCATCTTTCTCATAGCCCATGAACGAATTTGTTAGAATCTTCTGAGCCATATGCTATTTCGGTCAGGAATCACGCACCTCACGACGATTTTTTTCAGAGAATAGAGCCATACGCTATTTTGGTCAGGGATCACGCAGTGCTGCACGCACAACGGTACAGGCAATCACCAATTCATGACGACCTTTCAGAGTAGCCAGGGTAGCGGCCACGCTACACGGCGGCAGAATTGCCGCCAGGAGTGGCCTCTGGCCACCGCCTCGGAGCCTCAAAGGGCACAACCGAGGTTCTTAAAGCGATTGACAAGTTGCGGTGTGCCTACCTCTGGGCAGGATCTGACACGGTTAGTGGCGGCAAGTGCAAGATTAACTAGGAGCATGTCTGCAAGCCAAAGGAATATGGGGGGCCATGGCATTTTGCACCTTCACAAGTTTGTTGCCGCCCTCCGGTTGAGGTGGCTATGGCTTGAGTGGGATGACCCACCTCGTGCGTGGTGTGGATTGGGGACGCCTTGCACGACATCTGACCGCGACCTTTTCGCCGACTTGACTGAGGTCAAGATCGGCGATGGACAGAAGGCTTCCTTCTGGGAATCCTCTTGGCTTCAGGGTGTCAGGCCCAAAGATATTGCATCAAAGATTTTTGATATTTCACGCAAGAAAGGTGTTACAATCGCCACGGCCTTAAGGGATGGGTACTGGATAGCACAAATCAACATTGACACTGGCCTCACTCTAGAACACCTTCAACAATTCTTGGCCCTTCGGGAGAAGCTAGCGACTATGGCCATTCAGCCGGGTGTCCAGGACTTTATAGTGTGGAAGTCAACCAATGATGGGCAGTACTCTGCAAAGTCCGCTTACTTGACGCAGTTTCATGACCTCCCGCTCTTAAATTTGACTGCTACGGTCTGGAAGGCGTTGGCTCCCCCCAAATACAAATCTTTCGCCTGGCTTGTTATACAAAACAGAGTTTGGACGGTTGATAGGCTTTAAAGGAGAGGGTGGCCAAATTGTGACAAATGCCCACTCTGCAATCAAGTGCAAGAATCTGCGGCACACCTGACCTTCAAGTGTCGTTTCTCTGTTCGGATTTAGAATGTGGTCTTCTCATGGCCTGGGCTTGTTATCCCCTCTGCGGCACACCTGATCTTCAAGTGTCATTTCTCTGTCCTATTTAGAATGTGGTCTTCTTGTTACTACATGTGAAACTAGACCATGAAAGCGCGCGTTGCCGCGCCTGTTCATCTTTAAGAAAAATATAGAAATTAAAGAAACATTTGATAAAATTTAAATGATTCAAATTACAATATTTCGGTATAGATGTTGGGGCATAGTTCACAACCATTACTTAAAAAAATTATCTGACTAATCACATAAATTCTCTTTTCATGTGTGTCTTATATTACAGTCATCAGAATGGTTGTCTTGTTTGCTCTGGCACATAATTGAACTTTTCAAGAGTTCTTCGGTGGAATATCTTAATGGAATTGGCTTTCTTTTGCTAATAAAATGGAGTTAGCTATCTTCTAAATATTCCAAGCTTCCAATACAATTTTTTACTTAAAAAGAACTTAAAAGTTAATAATTGTATATTGCCATGAACAAGTCTAGAAAGAATGATCCGACAAAAATTACTGTCTAACACCTCTGTAGCAAGTGCCACCACAAATTAGTTTTTTGGATGCTCTTGTATGCTAGTTACCTGACATTCCTTGTGCGCATCTTCTTCAGTTGATATGCATCTAAAAGACATGCTGCTAAGTAGCTATGATTAGTCCCCTAAAAAAGTAGCTATGATTAGGATAACATAAGCTAAGTATCTGATTTGTATGCTAACAAATCACTTGGGTAACATGAAACAACCTTGGCCAGTGTACTCAGAGATTCAGGTATAATCTATCTTTACGGATATATATCAGAAGAGAAAAACGAAGGTATAGCTCATAAGAAGGATATTTGTCTCCTTTCGCAACATGAATGACATTGCTACATCAATTGTTTGGTTAAATACTTTAGGGCATCATTGCTGAAATTTAACTGATGACAGAAAATGTCCCACATGAGTAGGAAGCCGTGAACTGGAAAATCCAGGGGTCAGAACTTCCTATAATTCAATGAGTACAAAAATAAAAATAAAATACTTAAAATCTGGGAAAAACCTGCACTTAAACAACTCAATCATAAGCACAAAGTGGGAGTGGAGAAATAAAATCACCAAAGGCAAGAGCTCACCTGGCCTTCCGACTGTTTGCGTCGTGAGGACTAATGAGTAAGTAAGTAGATGCGTTCATGCGGCTTCGTAGCCCAGCCATTATGCCACCATCTGTCCATATCGATTGTTACCTTGCCTCTCGTTGGTTGCTGGTTGCGCCTCGCACGCGATCTTGCCTACAGCCACCATGGAAGAACTCTGCTGGGCAGGACATGGGAAATAAGAGACCCACCGTGGGGGCCTGCAGACGAAGAGTAGAGGGCGAGTACATGGCATCCACACCGAGGCAAACAAGAGGTAGAAGATCTCTGCCGGGACGGAAGACGGCGGCGGCTCCAGACAAGAAGTAGCACCACCCCGCCTGGATGGAAGGCGGCGGCGGCCCAACGCCGAGGAGGAGGCGAGCAGCTCGAGGATAGGTTTGGAGACCCGCCCTGTTAGAGGTACCTCATGGGCCTTTTACAAAACAGCCTGATTAGTGACAATTAGTGTAACTCGTTTTCCGAAGCAGCAACCCAGAAAAGGTGCCTTTCAGCAGTCAGCGTTATAATTGGAACGGCCGGGAAAATCTTGTGCGTAGATGAGAGTAATTCAACGGCTGAGAGCGTTAAAACACTGTGGGGGCTCATAACTAGCTGAGTTATACTGTTTAGTAATGAAAAATCTGAAATGAAAAGGTGCCTTTCAGCAGTCAGCGTTATAACTAGGATAGCCGGAAAAATCTTGTGCGTAGATGAGAGTAATTCAATGACTTTTGACATTGTGGGGGCTCATAGCTAGCTGAGTTATACTGTTTAGTAATGAGAAATCTAGAATGAAAGAAATGCTGGTGTCTTCAGGAGCAAAGCGAAAGAAATGCTGGTGTCTTCAGGAGCAAAGCGATGCGATGCCGGTGGCGACTATCATGCCATGCATCAAAGAGGAAGTTTTTATTTGACCGACTGCGGGCGCTAAACATTTGCGAAATAGGAAGTTTCTATTTGGCCGACTGCGGGTGCTAAACATTTGCGGAATGTAATGCCGCCAGAGTAATTGTTTTGTTTTTCTTATGTCAAAGAGGAAATTTCTATTTAGGCCCACTGACGATGTCTGTTCTGAAACCTCTTCTTAGTCAAAGGGCACAGTGAACGGCTGCGGAGTGTGGACTGCACTACTGCAGAGCAACCGACAAGACCAACCGACTAGGCTGAGTAACTTCTACGTATTTTTGCCGGCGGCGGTGCGTGGAAACATTAGATAACTTGCTGTCGCTGGACATCGCGATTTATTATTTGGTATCGACAGAGTACAGCATTACGAGTCATTACAGTAGACACGAGCACAATACATTACAGTAGACACGAGCAAGTATGCCACTACTCGCGGACGTGGCTCCCAAGGCGCAGGGTGATCCCGTCACAGTCCCTGATGTAGCCGACCTTCTGCCCCCAGTTCTTCTGCTCCGGCGCGCTCACCGGCACCGCCCCGTTCTCCACGGCCCGCCGGTACGCAGCGTCGACGTCGTCGTAGTCGAAGCAGATCTCCACGGGCCCTCGCTCACGGAGCGACTTGGGCAGCTGCACCTCGCCCGTGAGCGCGTCCGTCTCCCTCTGGTGCCGCGGCGTGAACGCGATGGTCGTCGAGCCGGTGTCCAGCTCCGCCCACCTGCGCGCACAACAGACGATGCACAGACATGTCAGGTTGACCCCGCGGCCAGCTAGGTAGGCCTAGGCGCAAATGGTGATGGGGATTACTTGTGCGAGTCGTCGACCCGGCGGACGCTGTAGTTGAAGGCCTTGGCGTAGAAGGCGGCCGACTTGCCCACATCTTCGACGTAACACACGATGTACGCGAGCTTAGGTCTCACCGCCCCAGACGCCATGGCTCGTCCCTTCCGTGCGTACGGGTGCTACTGCTAACCACTTTGAGATGGCTCGGTGTTTGCCTTGAGCTGTTGTGTCTTCCTTGGCTCTCTCGATTACTGGCGCTCAGCTCTCGCCTGTGGTTTGCCTTTTAATGCGGCCCGGAATCGCCGCTCCGTCGGCAGCTTGGGAGGTGGCGCGCATGCATGCAGTGTTCTGGACTCTTCTCTCCACGTTTCAGATCGTGCCCTTCTTCTCGGTGACACGCGTGGACTGTGGAAGGTTCAGCGGCTCCTCAGACCGAATTCTCTGTAGGTGGCACTGACACGTAGCCACGGAACACGTCCTAGTTTAAGAAGCCGGGAGCCAACTCGAAGACGAACGCCAAAGTCCAACCCACAGCCCAGCACCATCGGATCGCCATGTCTGGAGCCCAAGGCGCACAGCCCAAGGGAGCTTTCACGGCGACCACGTACAGGTCGGCGGCAGCTCCCGACGGCCCGGAGGAGCGCCACCAGCAGCAGCAGTCGCCAAGGACAGAGCTACGGTCGAGCAAGGACGAGCATGGGTTACCGGTGAAGATGCTCGAGGAGAGGGTCGAAGACGCCACTGGGAAGGGCGGCCCGGTGTTCGGCGCCGGTACGGACGACGGCAAGCCCGACCTGGGCGTCACAGGCACCGGCGGAGGCTAACCGCTAAGCTAGTTGTTACATGGCGTGCTTTGCGCAGCATTTGTATTGAAGCATAAACTGTGATGTACTCGTAGTATGTAGAGTAACTTCCAAGGAGTGGAATAAGATTACGAGATCAGAATAAAAAGAAAAAAGATTGAATTCCAAGGCGACTCTCCTTTATCTCGAAATCACTAATTGAGAAGTGCTCGTTGCAAAGATCACTTCAACTTCCTAAGTTGCGACGTCATTTGTCTGTCATCCGGGAGTCTTCCTTTTTTATATAGATCCGTTTATTTAAAACATTGTCTCTCAAACCGTGAGTCTAAATCTTAAACCGCTTTTACTGTTGAATTTCTTACGTTGAGATTCTCAAAACTAGATCTATGTTAATAGGTTTTAACGATTTTTTTGGCACGTCCATGTCTCTCACAAAATTACAACTGTATCTCTCACGAAAACAAAATCGTGACTCTCGCAGAAGAGAAAAGAAAAAGAAAATACGATTTTTCTTCCATTTTCAAGGAGGTACAACCGTAACGCTCGTGAAAGAAAAAAAATAGAAAACATGTTTTTTCTGTTTCTGAGAGGCACGGCCGTGACTCTCGCGAAAGTACAACCGTGCCTTTCGCGGAAGCAAAACCGTGACTCTTGCGAAAGGAAAAAACAGAAAGCGCGTTTTTTTTTCGTTTCCGAGAGGCACAGCCATGACTCTCGCGAAAGCACAACCATGCCTCTCGCGAAAACAAAACCGTGACTCTCACAAAAAGAAAAAAACATAGAACATGTTTTTTTTCGTTTCCGAGAGGCACGGCCGTGACTCTCGCAAAAGTAAAACCGTGCCTCTCGCGGAAGCAAAACCGTGACTCTCACGAAAGAAAAAAACGAGTTTTTTCACGTAAAAAAATATTTTTTTAAAAAAATTGATTAAATAGCTAAGGAAAACCGGTAAAAAACTAAAACGTAAAAAAACCATTTAAATAGCCAAAAACATGTATGAAAAAATAAAAAAAATAAAATTTGAAAAGACGCCCAAAACACGACATGTGACGAATGACTGAGAGCGCGTCAAATGACGCTGATCATTGCGAGGCTCCCGAAAGAGTGCTCGTTAACTAGTGGCTTCCCTTTTATCTTCCTCCTCTTAAGTCATCTTTCCTATCCTCTTCTCCAACCGTGGCGCCCCGCCTTTAGCGAGGTCTTGATGAGCCCTCCCGGCGATGCGACAGCTGACCATCATCGGCAAAACGAAAAGTCCTACCCACTGCCGCTCCTTCTCGCCGACGCGGACTACCTCGCCGTCTTCAGCCGGCCACCCTTCCGAGGTTAGCCTTCCCTCCCTGCTGGGCCTCGGCCCAGTTGAGCATCCCGTTAAACCCTGCCGGTGGGCAGTGCGTACATGCCGAGCGCTTAACCTCGTGGGTTCTGCTCTGCAGGCCGGGCTGTTAGTAGTTAGCTCCGTTTTATTCTTTCATTTAGATTTACTATTTTCAGAAAAAAAAACACCGGAAGCCTTGCATAAATAAAGTATGTAAAATCAACATCGGGCTGTAAAATGTTCTACATGAAACTTGATTACTACCTCCGTTTCAGTTTATAAGTCCTACGCGTATACCTAGGTTGTCAATTTTATCACCTTAATATAAACTATATAACACACAAATTATACGGTTTGAAAATAGAGCATCTGAAGTTTATATTGGTATATTTTTTGTAATATATGACTTGTATTAAGTTGGTCAAATTAACGACCTAGGGGCACACGCACGCCCTGTAAACTGAGAGAGAGGTAGTATAAAAATGTGTAGATCATAATTATGTCATTTGTATCCATGTTTGACTTGTTTAACTTGTTTTTACTATGTAATTAGCATTAACAGATTAATTAACATCCACGCCAAAAAAACAGATTAATTAACATATCTAATTAATAATAATTAATCCTACCTCATAATTAACCGATTAAATATGTTGTTTTGATCAACATGATGCATAAATTTAACTTTGACCATAAACCCCTCCATTTCAAAATATAGTGCGTTCCCGGTTTTTGTGCTTTAACTTTGACCATAAATTTAACCAACAAGACCGACTGCGGCGGGTGCAAAAGTTCTACCAATGAATTCGTCTTCAAAAGAAGTTTTCAATTATATAATTTTTGCTGCCGCCGCAGTCGGTCACGTTGGTTAAATTTATGGTCAAAATTGAACCTCCGAAAACGCGAGTGCACTATATTCTAGAACAAAGGGAGTAATATGTTACTTACATGCATATTTGCATCAACTAAAATGAAATTCATGATTAAACCATATGAGCCCTTTTAATTATATACATTTGAAATGCTTTATATAATGCTGACATTGCCTCATAGCACATGGTGGCGCACCTACCTGTAATCTAAACCACAATCGATGTACATTGGGATGTGAACTGAAATCGCTCTTAGGTTTCCTATTGAGCCAATACAATTTTAATACAAACGAATCACATGGCACTGTAGAGAAGTATTGGTGAGTTAATGTGTGTATATCATAGGACATGATGTTACATGCCAGAAGTTAATGCGCATATTGACTTTGTGTCCATGCATGGTTAATTCATGCGTCTTGATGGAGAAATGATGTCAGATAGTTACTATGTAAGGGCAAGAGCTATGGGGGCAGAACTATACAGGTGCCCTAGCTTCCACATAAATTTTTGAAGCTTAAATCACAGTGTGAAATAAAAACAGTACAATGCTGCAGTCTCCCTTGTGGTCGAATCTAAGTTTCTCTTTCTCAATTTCCAAACCGCAAAAGAGCTAAAGCGAGCGAGGCTTGCCATGGCATTGGTTATGAGAGAGTTGAAACAACTTTTAGTTAGGGAAGAGGCAGCCTCCTCAGCAGACACTCTTTCGCTCTGCAAGCAACACATTTTTCTAGTCTGGACCATCAAATCTGACGTGGAGGACCGTTGTAAATGTGTTGGAGCTAACAGTATGCCATGGTTTAATAAATGAAAACAAACGACTGCATGCAACGTAATTAGTGTTAATTCATCTTTGTTCTTTGTTGGACCATGAAGATAAACAGTTACATGTGGCTGCAATGATAAATCAGCAGGCAACGTTAGTACTAACGAACCCGGGGTCGCTCTTGCAAAAAGATTTTAATAAAGAAAGCTAATAAGATAGCTTTTTATAGGAGAAAAAGTCCTTGGATTAGTATAAATAAATCTCCTTGAATTATTATCAAGAAGTTCTCGGGATTTCACTAGAAATAAAAAATAGAAAGACGTAATTTCGTGGAATTTCTACCAATTTTCCAAGAATTACAATATTGGAATTCACATTCTTTTTTTATTTGAAGTTTTAACAATAATGAAATCCACTATTTATTTTAATTATCCCATGATGCGATTCTCAGTTTTTAAAGAAAGCACATAACTTTATGGAAATATATTTGATCTCACATTTACTAAATCTGGGAAATTATTAAATGCATTAAACATAAATTTATACTTAAAGTTGATCTGATATTACAGTTTTAAAACTGATAAAAATACATAAACTTGTGAAAAATATTTGTAAAGTTGAATAATATTGCAGTTTAAAAACTTGGTACGAACTGAACATTAGATGTCGCATGATTCAAAACCGTGGTTTCAACAAAAATCCGCTTGCATGTCATTCACGATTTAACGATGATGTCATTGTTAGTTGTTGGGGGCTGACACGTGAGCATGGGGATGAGTTGGCGAGCGGAGGGGCAGTTTGTGCAAAGAATACCTCCTTATACTACGTAAACAATAAAAAATAGACCTTACTATAACAAAGAATACAAGCCGGAAATCCAATTCGGCTCCTGAGAGCATATGCTCTTGGGCACCTTTTTTTTTGTGCAAATGTCAAAAAAATTGAGAAAAAAATACATGGGTTGATTGCCACACTCAAATGCTACCTACAAATCTTAAGGGGGGAGATTAAGAAGTTTGGCATGAGCCAAAAAAACAAGTCGAACGTCAAATGTTACACGTATTTTTGTTTTTTTCACCGACGAAGCACTGTTATCAAGTTTGACATGAAAATTGCCATGCATGCTTGTTACACTAACAAGAACATCTCCACAAAAGAAATGGATCTTTTAATATTTATTTTGAATTTACTGTTGATACGAGAGCATATGCACCCTAGAGCCAAAACGGCCATCCCAATACAAATATGCTGATGTAGCGGTGTAAATCCATATGCATATTGAACGGTGAGATATCATGGAGGCATCTCATGGAGGTAGCCCGCAAGTGCTCGTATGCATTTTCGTATATAATGCTTCCTTCTCTATCTAAATTGTTTAGGTTAGTTTTGGCTTATATCCGTAACCATCTTATGCTATGTTCATCCATGTTAACAACATTTAAAGCGATTTGAGTAACTAAACAAGATTGAGCCCTTTTCCTTCGAATGTGGGGTGTAGTTATATTGCATTTTAGTTGCAATCACACTTCACTTAACTTGTTTAGTAATTGTATTTGATCATGTGCACCTCATCCATGCCAGGTCGTGTCATTGCATATCATGAGCATGTCGGATCTTTACCATAGTATAAGATCCATTTGTTGATCGATTTTTAGTGTTTTGCTTCTTCGCGAATAGGATCCAGAGATGACGTGAGATATGAGCAGGGAGTAATCATCTACCAAGCGTGGACATTAGGCAAGCAAAACCTCCTTGTCCATTCCGACACATCCTATGCTTTCTTCTTTATTCATGCCTTAGACTAACGACTCTTGACAAGACTAATGGTCAATGGGACGAAAGTTTTAAGCTGTTGTACACCTACAAAGCTGAGGGTGAGATGACAAGTCCAGGATATGTGGTAGATATTGACAAGCATATTGTGTAGATGGAACATAAAGGAAGGAATGCTTTAGGAGGGCTTTTGCGTGTTTCAAGACTTCTTGGCAGGGGTTTCTAGATGGTTGCATGCCCTATCTAATTGTGAAGGCTACTTTTGTGAATGGAAGATTTAAAGGAGTTGTTGCTT